GTTCATGTGCCACATTTAGATCAACAAGTAAGTAAAATCTATTATCTTAGTCCATGTAAAGTTCATTTATTTGGTATCAAGATGAAGCAATAAGGGAACAAATTAATTATGTTCTTAATGAAAGTGAAATTATAGGAAAAGGTCCTAATGGCACCCTTAGCATGATTTTTGATGGAATTAAAAAATTGAATAAAGGTGAAAAGCATTTAAAGATTACTTGTGATAATGCAGGTGGACAAAATAAAAATAACACCACTATTTGGTTTTATTTATATTTAGTAATTTGTGGCTATTATGAAAGTATTGAATTGAATTTCATGATTCCTGGACATACCAAATTTAAATGTGATGGTAATTTTGGTATGATTAAAAAACTCTATAGAAGAACCAGAGTAGATTGTCTAGATCATGTGGTTGAGGTAATAAAAAAGTCTAGTCCAGCAGGATTAAATAAAGCACAGTGTTATGAAGGTGGAAAAGGATTTCAATACTTAGATATTAAAGCAATTTTGGGAATTTATTTCAAGAAACTGAATGGTTTACAAAAGTATCAACATTTTCTTTTTGAAGCATCTAACCTTGGTGTGGTCAAAGCTCAGGAAATTGCTATGGACCTTTTACTGAATTCAATTTATTGAAAACCAAGAAATCAGATATTTTTGAAGAAATTAGAGCTTTATCTATTTTAGTGTTAACACCACCTCCTTTGGACTACAAAAGACAAGAGTATCTTTATCATAATATTCGCCCGATGAATACAAAGATATCACTTGTCCCAAACCAATCTATGCTGATAATGAATAAAAATATTTCAGTCAACTGCAAATTTTATTACTTTATTAGTTTTTATTAAATTCTTTATATTTAATCTTTTAATGATATTAATATTAAAATATAATATAGGAAGTAAAATCATGACATTCAATAAAAATGATATCAATACAATCAAAAAAACAAAGGAATATCCTGACTATCATGGTGGTGAACTCACTCAACCAGAAAAAGAAATCTTTAATAGTTCTCTTTTAACTCCTAATGGTATTTTGGATGTTTCTCTTCTCCAAGATACTGCTGAATTATTAAATAATTGTAAAAAAGCAGAGGCTAATTTAGTTACTGAAAAAACTTCTGAAACAGGATTGTCTACTAATGGTAATGCTTTACTTGTTGCTTTAATGGAGCAAAGAAGAAATAATTCCATTGCTTACCAATTAGTTAATGAAAAGGATGAAAATGAGGAAAGAAGAGTTGATAAAATGGTAAAAGAATACCAAACTGTCTTATTTAGAAAAAACAATAAAACTTTGGATTTAAAATTAAAGGAAGCATTAATTACTTTTGCCAAAGTATCAAAAGAAGAAGAAAAGGTTGCCAAAGAAATTACTGAGTTAGAAAAAAAATATAATCCTCAAGTTCTTCAAGAACAAACTAATTTAGAAAATAAGGTTGACACTGCAGTTACTGCTTTAAAAGATGATCTTAGAATTGTTAACACAGGAGGTCGTAAATTTTTAGAATTTATAATTGAAAATGGTAAAAATTTTTCAGAATTAAATTATAAATCTGATGTTCCAGCTACCACCGAACATTATGGTTCCATTATCAAAACTGGTTATAATGGGAATAATAAACCTTATACTCATCCACTTTATTTGAGTACTGATTTTGTAGGGCAAATTTGAACTATTCTCAAAGATATTGATAAAGATAAACTTTTCAAATATATTGATTCTTCAGATTGTGCTTGGGATGCTGGTGATAAGAAAAAATTTAAAGGTGCTTTTGAGAGAGTTATAAACTGAAATGCTAAAATTTCAAATGAACATGATAAAGATTTAATGAGCTATCTTTATTCTAATACAAAAAGAAAGAAGAATATAAGTAAAGGAGAGTTCAAAGAGAGAAGAAGGTATATTAGTGATATTTTTTATGTCATGCATGCTCTCTTTCCTAAAGATAGCAATTATAAAGATAGTCCCTTCATAAAAAAAGGTGAGAAGAGTTGTTTGCAGTTTAATGATACAGACAAGAGTATTGATACTCCTTATACTGTCTATTGACGAGGAGCTGATGCCAGTATTATTGGAAAGAAATATGTTGATAATAGCACAAATGTGTTGAAAGCTCCTTTTGATGTTGAAGAAAAACACTTAACTTGGGCTAATGGTCAAATTCCCAAATTCTTTTGACAAGTTTATAATAGTGATGAAGCCGTTGAATTTAATGCTTATGATGAGGTAATTAGTAAAGATGGGATTATGGATGAAAGAATTAGAGAGGAAGAAATAACCATTTATGAGAAGAAATTAACTTGTTCATCATCAATTTTTAACCGTCATATTGCAAAAAAAAACTATATTTTGTATGTCGAGAAATTTATCAGTAATTTATTGGATGCGACTGGGAAAAAATTATTTGAAGAGGAAGAGGTTAACGAGCTTTGTCTCAAATGAACTAAAATTAGCCAAAAGGTAGTGAAAAAGGCTATGGATACTCTTGTAAAATTTAGAGAGGAAGCGAAAGGTTTAAGTTTTGATGAATTAAAAGTTAGAAGTAATGAACTTAATCCTTATCAAGCCAAATGATTAACTAGAGAAGTCAAGAATAAAGAAATTGATAATGAAATGATAGATGTGTGAAATGAATGAAAAACTATTACAGCTGATAAACGAGTAGGTTTAGAAAGTATTCATGCGGAATTAGGAAAAAAAAGGAGTGAATTAACTAAAATTAGTCTTCAAAAAGCTGATAAAAAACAAAAACTGATCCAAATCCAAAATCAAATTAAGGATTTTGAAACTAATCAAATTAATCACTTACGAACTCAACTTAAAAATTTAGGAGATAAATTAACTGATCCATCTAATCAAGAAATTATCACTTATCAAGAAACGATTGCGATTAGAACTTTGATTTACTTCTTAACTGATTTAGAAAATGAAGGCAAACTAGAAACTCTCCTTACAACCACTGAAAGAGGATATCTCACTAAAGTAGAACAGTTAGAAGCTATTCGAAATGCTAAACTTCCTACTTATAGCACTTGACAAGGTTTAGGTGCTAGTTTTTGAGAAAGACTAAATAATTGAGAAAAAAAAGAAGGAAGAAACCTAACTGGGAAAAGCATTACAACTTATTTTAATTTACTAAAAAGTGAGTTAAATAATGCTCAGCAAATCATCGGTATTAGTCTAGAAGAAGAAGCAGAATTATTGGCGATTACTAATTACTTAACTAATCCAGAATTAAGAAGTGAAAATCTTCGTTCAGTTTTCAAGATTGATGCAGATATTACTACTTCTTTAGTAGAACAATGAAAGAATTTTGGAGACCAAAAACTCTTTAGAAAAGATGAATTAGAACTAAAAAAGATTGGAAGTATTGTGAATGATTTGGATGATTTTGAGCCTTTCTTTACTCATCTCAAAGATTATTTAAAAGATAAAAAAGGAATTCCTCCTTTTCCTGAGGATAATGTTGCTGAACAAGATAAATTAAACTATTTCTTTACTCTCAGTCCACAGTATGTAATTGGAGCAGTCGCTGATTATCACATCAAAACTGACAATGCTAAGAAAGAAGAAATTGAAACTGAAATGAGAGCTGATCGAAATCCAGCAGATAAAACTAAAAGTTTAGATTGGAACATTTATGGAGATGGAGTTAGTCCAAATGAAGCAGGAACTAAAAAATACTATTTCGAAAAACTCGGCGGAATTAACCATAGTTATGCTAAAAATCAAACCCAAAAATTAACTCCTACTTCCAAAGAAAGCTTTTGAAGAATGAATAATCTTGCTGCTTGACTAGGTGGACTGGGCTTACTTTTACTCTTAGCAGGAATTATTTGAATTATTCGCAAAAGAAAAACCCTTCTCCAATGATGAAATTCTCCTTCCGATTTAGAAGATGAATTGGATGATGATGATGATGATGATGATTAATAATGATTTGATTGTTTATTCTGCCAGTCTTCTTTTCTTTCTTGGTTCATCATGAGCTGATGTTAAGGTTCGTTTATTGCTTATTATTTTTCTTTCTTCATGGTAAATTTCATAGGTAATCCTTTCTTTGTCTAAATATGTTTGCAAAGATTTGGTATCTGCTAATTTAAAAATGTAAGGAGCAATTTTTTCACCTTGTTCTTTTTTTAGTATACTTCTAATGGTGCTATAGTTCTTAGGTTCCATAGTAGACCTGATGTAAATGAGTTTCATATTAACTATTTTTATCTAGAGGTAATTCTATGTATCACTTAACAAATGGGATTATTATATAACTGTTAATTATAAACACATTACAAAATGACTAAATTTTGATCCCTGAAATTCTTGGTAATACCAATGTTCACTTTGTCTGGTTTTGTTGCAGCATGCCCCATATTGGATCTTCTAAGAACATTGCCTACTTCAAAAATCCGAAATGATCCCAGTGAAATCACATTAATTACAAATAATCTGGACAGGATAATGAAAGGACTTTTTCATGATCCAGACAAGACCTTAGTACAATGGCCTAATACTGAATTACACGAAAGCAAAATAAGAAACTTAGCCAGTAGAGCAAAGCAGCCTGATTTCACAGTTTCTTTAATACATCAACAACAAATTGATTCAGTGATTTTTGTTGGAGAAGTAAGTCCACCTTCTGAAAGAAATAATGTTTTCAAAAATTCAAATGATTTGATCCAGTTAGGTACTTTTATGAAGGATTGTATGGACTCATCCATAGCTAAAGGTGCAGATATTGAAATATTAGGATTTCAATGCATTGAGTATACTGTGGATTTTTATGTGATGGATTTAGCTGGTAGGGCTACTTACACAATGTCACATCTAGGACAAATCAAGATTCCTGCAGATTTCAAAGATATTTATTCATTCATTGATGATATAGGATTGCTATTAGGAATAAAAGATATCTTTACAAGATCGTTTAATAATTTTTATGAAAAGCTTCGTGTACCAAGTCAATTGGAAATAAAACCTACATTGAAGAAA